TAGAAGATACACCTTAAATCGAGAAAAAAAGGCGTCTGAATTCGCTTAGAAATGAAGATCACACTCATTTTCATTGTTAAATTATCTGACAAATGTCATCGATTGTCATTTCAAAGCCAAATTGACGCTGTTTTAGTAATTATATGGTATAAATAGTCTCTTACAAAGAACTAATTTAAACAAAGTGTCAAACAGTTTTAAATGAATTATTGGAGATATTGGAGAAAAGTTCTACGCCAGCCTGATTATAAATATCTAGTATAAGTTAGTGTAAGTACTAGTGTATAATTCGACCCCAGGGATATGTTTACGAGTGTTTTTTTGCAAAAAAAATGTTGAAAATCGTGCATTTTCTTTTAAAATTTTCTGAAAATTTTAGAACATTTTTAAAACTGCCTGTTCACCGCAAATTTTCCCACGGTATAATTTCTTAATCATTGCCCTGAAAATATTTGCACTTATTTGAGACTTACCCTGTATAATAAAGTATATAAGCATAGCATTCATATGTCTAGTGTATTTATTTTCTTTTTAATTTGAACAAGCTGACGAACATAGTTAATATTAACTCATAGATAATGAGAAGCACTTGCAAATATTTTAAACAAACCATTCATCTCGAAATATTTTAAAAAATCTATATTTAAAAAGCTTTAAAAGTTGTTTTAAAACTTTATGTTCTTTAACACAATTTTAAATAAATTATTGTTATCGTAATATTCCTACAATATAAATATTTAAGTTTCTACTTTAACAAAATTTCACTTTTTGAACAGTTTAAAAACGAAAATTAAATTGCTTTCAAACATAAAGTGTAATTTAACAGCTAAAACAAAGACAAAAATCAAAGGGCTATTATCTTGTCCAAAATATGGACAGGTTCCGCATAGGACTGCATAATTACAAAATACACGTTTAACAATATATCAGTCCTTTGAAAACAGCTATTGAACAGTTGATTAATGTAGTTTCCCGTGCTTTGTTTCCAATTAAATTGATACGTCAATTTGTTTTTTGTTTAGGATGCAAAATATTTTTTTCTCGCTAACAGTATGTACCAAAATACAAATATATTAGTTATGAACATGCTAAATAAGAAAAAATAATTAAACGTAGTATATAATAGTTATATTTCTTATATTTAATATTCATCTTTTTTGGTAATTTATAGTTTTTGTTTTAGGCATAAATAAAATTAATTTATATTGAATTTAAATAGATAGATTTCTATACCGGTGACATAGAAAGGAAAGCATGGATTTAAAAGCGGTTTTTCTAGAGAAGCCATATTTAGGTTTAAATATTTAGTACAGAATTGTCAAAATCGTAAAAAAAAGAAAACTCACTAAATCAGTGAGTTGTGAAAATTAGAATTATCTTATACAAAAATAGATATTACCTGTTCACTTCGCTGTACTTAAAAATTTATATTTCTTTCTATATACTCACCGGCATAAAACCGGCCACTAAAAACTAGTCCCAATTTCAAAGTTGGATTTCTCGCGAACCACTCATTAGATTTTGATGATTTTTTTTTAAATTGTAAATTAATTCCTTCTTAACGGATGCTACGTCAGAAATTTCTATTCCGAATTTATTTTGAGCATATACAGTGCATAACAATGAGACGAAGTTTTTTGCCCGAACTTTGTAACACCCTGTAGGGTGTAGCAGTTGTAGTAGCTATTGCTAAATCAAATCGCATTGTAGCCTCATCTTTTGTGAGCATCTTGTTTTTTTAATCACGACCTTATCTCTGTTTTTAATGGAGATACGCTGCTTTAAAACTAACGTCTCGGAAAAATGCTTCGCAGGCAGAATGTTTTATCTGCAAATAATCAAGGCGACATAGACGAAAAGGGATCTATAAATATTTGCAATATGACAACGACGGTTGTCAAATTCAAAAATGTCATTATCTGTGACAGATGTTGCTCGTGTTGTGGCTTTAATTGAGGATGGCCGAAGTCAAACGTTATGTGTTCGATACTCTGGGTATACCTTGAACAACAGTCCAGGATATCTGGAATCGGTATATAGAAACGGGAAATTTCACCAGGCAAGTGGGTTCTTGGAAGAAAACGGAAGACAAATGCAATTGACGACCGCTTTATTATTCTGAATACTTTACGAAATCTTAGAATTACAGCGTTTCAGAATCAACATCTGCTACAAGCCATGCGTAGAACTCAACTCAGTGAGAGAACAATCTGACGAAGACTCAAAGAAAACAGCTTGTCTGCAAGGAGGCCTGCCACAGGACCTCAACTACTTCCAAGACATCGTCGAGCACGTCTTCAGTTTGCGCGTATACATGTGAATTGGGATATTGAGTAATGGACTAAATCTTTTTTTGAGGCGTTTGTTTTAAAGCAGCGTAGTTCCAACACAAACAGAGATAATGTCGTGATTAAAAAAACAAAATGCTCACAAAAGGTGAGGCTACAATGTGATTTGATTTAGCAATAGCTACTACAGCTGCTGCACCCTACAGGGTGTTACAAAGTTCGGGCAAAAAACTTCGTCTTATTGTTGTGTTCTGTATATGCTCAAAATAATTTGGGAATAAAAATTGCTGACGAAGCATCCGTTAAGAAGGAATTAATTTACAATTAAAAAAAATCATCAAAATCTAATGAGTGGTTCGCGAGAAAACCAACTTTGAAATTGGGACTAGTTTTTAGTGGCCGGTTTTTTTTTGCCGGTGAGTGTATCTTGTAATGTGAGGTTTCTAAAGTGGAATAAATTCTAAATGTTTCTAAAAAGAGGATCGGGGAATGAAATTGCCATATTTGGAATAGGCTTCTTCTATCTGACCATATAGATCACAGAGGATCTCCCTTTAGAACATTTTCTGTAATGGAAATGACTGGAAGTAAAAGCTATACTGTATGAACAAACACTAAAGGCGCTGCTAGTCAATTAAAAATTAACAAATATTTATTTGTTTTTTAAATATGTTAATATTTTTATTTCGTTGTGTTTTGTGAATATTCGGAGTGTGATTTTGCAATTTCCTCTATAATTACTGGTGTATTTGCACTTATTTTACCAATACATTTTATTTTAATTATTCATATTTAAATGGAATGGCTTTTTTCAATCGATAACGAAAACCTGCGAAGAACAACTGTAGCGTTCTTAAGTGCGACAACAAAAATGGCAGTTTTTTCTTTTTCCAAATCTCCGGAAAAATTCGAATTGTTTTGTACATTTTCTTTTCAGTTTATAAGTATGTAAAATACATAATTTATAAAAACATCATTAATTGTTTTATTTTTATAAACGTTCGATCGAGTGTTGATATAAACATTTTTTTGTGACAAAATAGGTATATTAAAATTAAATTATATGTTATAACACACAAGATTATGTAATTTTAATATACCTATTTCGTTACAATTAACAAAATGTTTGGCGCTATTCTTGCAACGGTCGCGACCCAAAACTTTTGATAATTTCGGAGCCGTTCGGCTTTTTCCGGAATTATATCGCCAAATATTATTTATTCAAATTTATTATTATTCCCTTTTCATTTTATAAATAAAATACAGTGTGTTGCATACAAGAAACTTTTTATTTTATATAAGAACATGTATGAAATACCTATGAAACTTTGGAAACCGATGTTATGCCACTATCTTGCCACTATCCACGATGGTTTTGCAGTTCACAGTTCACAGCACAGCTTTTTAAGTTTTTAATGCCACTTTTCCACAATTATCACGGGTTTGAGTAAATAAAACTTAAATTAAACTCACAAGATAGCAATAACTACTTGAAAATGGACGCTTGAAACACTTTTCGGATTTTTTTCAATAGCGGTTTAGATTTTGAAAGATTTTATAATTTTTGAAGATTCTGACTTTGACAAGAGATATGGACGAAAGAAAATAATTTTTGTTTTTGTTTGCGGTTGTTCTTAGCAACCACTATAGCAACGCCAAATCGCGTACAACGGCCGCGACCCAAATTTTTGAGGAAATAATTCTAAATATATTTCCTTTATCTATAGGCGGGTTCTCACTTGTCAGTTTCACTGACGCAGTCTGACTGATTCATTATCAATGAAAAATAAATAAAAAACAACGATTGTATTCACACGTTTCATGTTTTGCTACATTCAGTATTCAGTTGGTCCGAACATTTTAACGTGGTGATTTTGTAGACATGAAAATGGTTAAAACAAAATTGAAACCAGGTGATCGGTGATATTCCCGGTGAGACACTCATATTTTCTATAATTGTCCAAAAATGCATCCATGTGTTCATCACGCCATCGGAAAACCAATTTGAATAACGATGTACGATGTGTTAACGCGAATTATTAATCTAACCTCAAAATTTGTAAACTGAACAAATCACGAAAATGTAGTTCTCACGCTTCAGTTTCTATTCATTATTCGATAATGATCAGTCAAAAATGAAAAAAAGTAGAACTGGTTTTCACTTTAACTGAAAGTACGAATGTACTGATCATTTAACATGAAAATGTGTTCTGACGTTCATTATTTGTTCAGTATCACTGAATCAGTTAGACTGCGTCAGCGAAACTGACAAGTAATAACCCGCCTTATGATTCTATCAATAAAAATGTGTCAAAAAATTAAGAAGAAATTAAATTGCTATAGAAACAAGTTTTTATTTTTAGCACTTCATGTTTTTTTAAATTTTCTCTGAAACTGTATAAACGGGATTAACGATTTTAGAACAAGCAAAAGTTTTTATGAAAAATGCATTTTTCTTAAAATGTCAATAATAAAAAAATGTTACCTCTTGTAAAGACAATACGGCGATATACTATATTTGGCCTTTTCAAAAATTTATATAGGATTTCCTATGTCCTGTATTCTGATGCACTACACGGTATAATACCTAAGAATTGTACACAACGTCGGATTTCAAACTTTGCCTGTATCATCTACACCAATACCATTTCTTATCGTTAACACACAATAATTAGAAAGCAAAATCGAACTCACCGGCTTTCTTGCACTTACCAGCTTCTTTGCCCCCCTTCACGCAGATACCGAACCCGTGACCGCTACCGTCCTGAGGGTCCCTCACCATCGTCACCGTCCTGGTGGCCAGCTCGTGGATTGACGGCGAGTAGACGGGCAGCCGGTAGTTATGGGAGGTGGAAGGGGGGCTACTCACTGGCGACCGTCTGGACCGATCCGGATTGGATTTGGAGAGGGGAGCGTTGTGGTGTTGTTGGGGATGATGGTGATGGTGGTTGGTGCTGGTGGCGGCAGTGCTGCCGAACAGGCGCAGCACCTGTTCGGGCGAGATGGGCCGCTTCTTGTTGTTGGAGGGGGTGCGGGTGCTGCCTATGCTGGAGAAGTTTGGGTTCGAACCAAGGTACGTCCCTGAAAATAATAATTAGGATGAGCGACACGGTAATTTTTAAATCACGCCGTTAAATGGTAACCGTGATTTTTTCATATAATTGATTTAAAAACGTGAAGTAATCATGACTTTCAATAACTGCACTAATGTAGCTTGTCGTATCGTGACTATTAATTTATTTATTAGTAAGGCTGTATTTCTTTGTAGAATCCGGGTTAACCAGGTTGGTAAATTACGGTAAGAATTGGATCTTGAAAAATTTCGGTAAATATAATATTGTATATGTTTTTTAAATTTCAGTATTCTTAAGCTTCATTAAGAATATCAAAATTAGTGAAATGAATTAGTGGTTTCAATTAAGCTTCATTCTTCATTCGGAACTTCCGAATTAGTAGAATAAATTAGTGGTTTTAATTACCGTAGAAGTTTGTTCATTTAATTTCAATGTAAGCATTCAGAATGTCCAAATTAGTGGTTGTCATTTTCAATTAGCAGAAAAAGTTAACAAACTTTTAACTTTTCCACTAATATTTTAAAATTTGCGAGGAATGTTATTTTGGCCTTTGATTCTCATCCCTAAATCTCATCCGTCAAGAGAAATTGTGGTTAGAAATCAAAAGTTGATTGTTTTATAACTTTGAATAAGAAGACTAAGGAAGGAGCATAATGATAGCCATGTATTCATGCATGGTGGGCGGAAAAATGACTCTAAGGTGGGGATCCTTGGCAGTTCTGTTTGACGATTCATTTGACACATTTGAATTTGATTTGAAATTTTGTGGATTTGTCAGTCTTTACGGAGCTTATTTTATGTTATTTATTATTTATTCTACTACTGATAGTTGTATAAAGGTAGTAAATCTAGATGGAAATTGTGGCAAAACTTAAATTAACAGTGACACTATCGCAATTTATCGAAAAAGACTCTAAAATAGTTGGTTGTGTAGCGTGCGGTAGATCTCGGCAAAAATCGAGTGAAATAATGGAACAACTTTTTTACTAGTAAGTGACTATATAATATACATATGTGTAGTAAACCGATCATTTATGAATTTCACTTAAATTAACTTAATTATATTTATATTTTTTCTTGCATTTTTGCTTTTATTTACTGCTTGTCAAAGATTAGATGTCAAAGAATTTAGATACGTCAATTTGATTTACCTGCTTCAGTAGCGTATCGGATCTTTGTGTTAATAAATAATTATTATAACTTATCTATTTTTATTAGAATTATATATTTTTGTAACAATTTTAATAACTACCAACATTTATTCACAACCTAAAATAAAACAACATATTATTGAGTCTACCCCACGTCTACCCTACACCATAGTTTTACATTTTTTAAATAAAATTAGAACGGCACTGATAAACCGGAATTTAAGTCGGCCATATTTGAGGCCCATCGCGGTGGACCCAAGATTTTTGATATGTTCCTTCCTTAGTCTTCTTATTCAAAGTTTTATAAGCTAAATATTAGTCTTTCTCTATGGATACAACAGATTACCGTAAGCTGGTGCTAGGATATTCTATTAATTTTGTGTTTTTTAGACATTGTGTATGATCGTAAACTAAAAAGTATAAAGTGTAATTGAAACCGCTAAGGTAAGGTTCTGAATGAAGCTTTAGCGCAAATTTTTGTTACTTTAATTCCAATGCAAACATTTTTTAGAATGGCAAAATTTGGCCTTTAATTATCATCATGTCAAGAAAAAGTATAATGTTTTATAAGCTAATTATTAGATTTCTACATGGATACAAGTGACTACCTAACTACTAAACTGCTGCTAAGAAATTCTATTAATTTTAATTAGATTTTTTTCAACATTGCGAATGATTATAAACTCTTAAGTACCGTATGAACTTAAGGTAAACTGGCAGTAAGCGCCATTAAAAGATAAGGAAGAGTATGGACCACATCTAGCTTGATCTCGCCAAAATTATCATCGATTGTCATTGCCCAGCCGTCTTTGACACCGATTTTTTTTCGATGATGTGGTATAAAGTATAATTGAATTCAGTAATTTACTCCACTAATTTTGAGGTTCCGTTAGGTTAGGAAGTATTATTGTAAAGTATTTATTTCAAGCGTGATTTGCCTTTTCAATGGAATTCAGTGTTGAAAAATACTTCGTAAATGAGCTGCTAACTCGCCAGACAGTTGAAGAATCTTTAAAACAAAATTATAAATAAATTATATTATATTAAATTTTTAAAACGTCACAAAAGTATTAATTTTGTTACGTCATTGACAACATAAAACGGTCATTTTATAAGCTAGGCATAAAAATAAAACACTTTAACGCCTAAATACAGAAGCACAAAAATATGTTATTAAATTGATATTAAGATCAAATTCAACGAGATTGTTGCTCGATGTATAATTACTTACAAGTTATGACTTTGATAGTATATTTGCTACATTTGAGAAATTGTTTAAAAAATTATTTGTGACGCTTTTAAAAAAATAGCAAATATAACACAACTAATCAAACAATATTCTATTAATAACATTAAACCAGCATTTTTGCGCTGGTTAATAGATAAGTACATTGTAAACATAAGTGCCAACAATTAACACATAGTAATAGATTAACCCATGTAAACTATTACATTACAGCGGTAAATTAATTTGTGCTGTTTCTCCAGCCATAATTGTATCATAAATTGATCAATTAAATTATAACAAACAATAAATTTTCTCACAGCTTATAAACTGTCACAATTAAACGTAAATAACACTATCCAAATTGCTTTTTGAAAGACCATAAATTATGTAACAGTTTTATATATCGCTATTTTAATAGCCATAATAAAGTAGAATCGAAGAAAAGCGTAAAGTTAGTTTGGAAATGCCGATCGCTATGATTTTTTATTTACATATAAAATCACAGCTATGTTAATTGCCCCAGGATAACTCTGACGCTTTTTTCATTATCTGTGGAATTTTCTTATATATTTTTATATTAATCAAATTATAATCTTTTGAATCATTATCCTCTTTGATTTATATTAATTAAATTATAATTGATTATATAAATACTCGCGTGTACCAGCGACTTCGTTCGCGTCGAATTAATCATTTGTAATGGTGATGATAAAGCAAAGCAAGAATTTCCATTAACATACAAACTGGATAAAATTTTCTCACATTTATGTCAGCATGAGAAAAAAATAATATGGCGATATTATTATATAACTTGGTAATATTTGCAAGCAGTTTAAGCAGAATCGTGGTTAAGAATTGTGTTACTCAACCTTTTAGAACACCCTGTATGATTTTTTAAAAAATTTCAAAATATGTAAAAAAACATAATAAATTATTCTTGTCCAAGCGTTTTCCCGAAATACTAACCGTTTTTTAAATAACAAATATTGTAATATTGAGGGGTGTTTTTCCTTATCGAACCTCTACACCCCACCGTCAATCCGTTTGCCAAAAATCAGCTTTAAACGTCAAGCAGTTTAAACACAATCGTGATTACTCAATGGTCATATTTTATGAAACACCCTGTATAAATTTATACAAAATCTTACAATATGTAAAACAACAACATAAAATATACGTGTTTAAGAGTTTTTCCGAAAAACTCACCGGTTTTTAAATAAAAAATATTTTAATATTTGAGGGATAGTTTCACCCTTTGGTTTCACTCCCTTAGAATTCAAGTTTCGAAAAATCCCTTCTTATCGAACCTCTACACCCTAAAGTCAATCTGTTTTCCAAAAATCAGCTTTTTACGTCAAGCGCTTTAAGCAGGATCGTGATTAATCAATGACCAGATTTTTTGAAACACCCTGTATACATTTTTAAAAAATCTTAAAATATGTAAAAAAAAATAAGATATACGTGTTTAAGCGTTTTTTCGGAAACTTGATCGTTTTTTAAATAAAAAATATTGTAATATTTGAGGGGCGGTTTCACCCTCTTGGAACTGGAATTTCGAAAAATTCCTTCTTATCGAACCTCTACACCCTAGTACACTAATCTGTATGCCAAAATTGAGCTTCTTACGTTGAGTGGTTTGAGCAGGATCGTGATTAATCAGTATGTCAGTCACTTAAGGATTTTATATATTAGTATAGATAAGCATTTGTTACAAAATCACATTATTCTTGACACTAATAAAAGTTGTTTTATAAAATTATTTTTTGTGTAGTGATTATAGAAATCGAGAGATTTAGAAATTTGATAAAATTTGCAAACTTCATAATTTTTTATAATATGAAATACATTTTCTTATTAATAGTTACACTGTATTATTTACTGCAAATATTATTTCGATTCCTCTACGGGGGCGTGTTCAAGAAAAAAAAATTAAAAATATTTTTTTTAAACATGGTGTCCCAGAAATAAGTGCAAGTATTTTAAGGGGTGGTAGAATATAAATTATTATGTTTATTTAAAATTTAATTAAATTTGTATTATAAACTTTAAATAGGAAGAGTTTTTTCTAATGTAAACAGAATAGGTTAAGATTTTTTTTTATAATAAAAAAAATGCGGTAAAATGTGGTTATTGCCAAATACAATATTTTTTTGGAAAATACAGTGTAGAACAGTTGGTTATTGTATTTTATAATAAATATAGTAGATATAATTTAAACACTTCAAGTATGTATTTTTTAAGTATATAACAGAATATTATAAATCTATATTTATTCATATACAGGGTGAGTCTTAAATAAGTGCACATACTTTTAGGGGTGATATAATTCGATTCTCATTAGTTTTTTTTGCGAAAAAAATGTTTTTGCAAATTTTATATTTTTCGAAAACTTCTTAGGATTTTTTTTTTAATTTTAGTTTGGTTTGGTTTGGTTTGGTATGGAGGTCTACCAGCCCTGAAAATATATGCACTTGCATTTAAAATTCACCGCATGTATAGTGGATGCGCGTGAGGATGCCGTAACGTCAACAATTCGGAGAACACTCTACTGCTACTGAAATCGGGAGAACTGAAACAGAATAATACCAGTACGGTACTAATTTACGTTTTGAAACAGTTTGGAACTGGAACAGGTTTCTTGGAACAGGTATATTTTGCAACTGGAACAGGTTGTACCTATTCTAATTAGGCTGAGTCCACACAGGTCCGCAACATTATTTTATTAGTTAAATTCTTCAAGTAACCATTCCGAATCAAGTCTCTTAGATAATGTGTATTTTATCTGTTAAAACTGTATCAAAGAATAATATATTTGTGAAATCTGAATTAAATGGGCATTTATTTTACGAAAGTTTTAATTCGTAGTTTAGATTTCTGGTTCGGTAGCCAAACAATCAGCTTTTCCAGTAATGGTGATACTGTTGCTTTTACTACGACCTATATTTTTAGAAACTAAAAGCCGAAAATACCCTCCTCGCGCTCCAAATAGGATTAAACTAGGCATTACGCCAGATACTCTCGGCTTAAATATCAGATATTTGAACGTAAATAAGCTTTACTATTAGACCATTTGGAAACGTTATGAGTCGTAACTCTAGTATAATGTTGTCAACAGATATTATAGGTACAATACAATTTTGTAGATTAGCTTCAGAGTGCGATTAAAAGATTTAAAGATAAAGTAATAGCTTTAAATATTTAAAAAGCGTGTTTAATAATAATTTCATGAAACAAAAATGAAAACAATAGCATTACATTAAATACAGGGTTCTGCCAGGAGTTTTAAATAAGTGCAAATATTTTTAGGAGTAGTATAATTTTGACCCCAGAAAACACGATTATGAATTTTTTCTCGCGAATTTTTTTTTAGTTTTTATTTAAAAAAACATAATTTCTTGATAATATGGCGACATAGGTAAAAAAAGCAGAAAAGATCCAGTAGTTCTCAAAATTTAAGTAAAAAAATTTTTTTTTTCGAAATTTTCGAAGTAAAATAACTCGGTTATTTTGGACTTGATTTGAAAATCGGTAAAGAGAAAATATGTTTCTTTTATCGATATTTACCACTTATTTAGCACTTATTTAACTCTCACCCTGTATAATATTAGTGTGGACTTATAAAAAAAGACCAAATCAATCAAATTGAACTCAAAAACAAACACACCGTTCAATATTTCGGGGCAAATGATTGATGTCATTGAGGTGTTTACATATCTAGGTAGTATAATAAACAAATACAGTGGAGCCAGTGAAGATATACAAAAACACATTCAAAAAGCATTTGGCCAGTTGAGAATAGTATGGGCCTCGAGACGTATCAATACTGACTGAGCTAAGAAGCTTTAATTTCTTACAGTGACCTAGAGTTTATCGCCGCATCTGAACGGCGCTATTTGAGAGGCTGTACAAGGCAAATATACTCAAGGTTGTTTGCCATTGCTTTCCTTGAGGTGACGGCTCGTTGGTTGCATATTTCTATTTAAATAAATAAAGCGACCGTACTAAAAATCTATAATAGTAATGTGAAATCAGTTCTCTCATACGAATGTGAAACATGGAAGATTACCAAAACCCTAACATCTAAACTATAAACATTTATAAATAGATGCCTGCGACGGATATACCTGTTGTAGACGAGGCACGACAGCGAAGGCAGAAACATCATAACCAAAAGCTAAGAAAATATCGGCAAATAGAACAAGATAGAATTTTATCACAGAAGCCCTATGTTGCATTTAGTAAGTTCCTAGGAATAGGGAATATAAATATATCATAAATTTTAGCTTTCCCTATGTAATATTTATTGATGGTCCCGCATGGTACCTAACAGACCCATTCTTTGTTCTGATCAATAACTTTTATTATCGTTTTTGTTAAGACGGATCTCTTAAGATTCAGCCTAACCTTAGATTTTCTTTAAATTTAAAAATTCTGATGTTATATCCTTTGCAGATATATCCGGTTATATCCTTTCCAGATATGCCAAAGTTTCTCAGAGATACACATCAGAAATTATATATGAAATTTTTACGAAATTGAATGTACCTTTAATCAACGACTTTCCAATGTTAGATACAAAGGACTAATTAGCCCCCTCAGCACAGAACCGCTATGTACGAGCCCACAGTTTACTATTTATAAATTATATAATCCGCTGTCACCCCCCCCTCCCGTTTCAAACAGGAACCTCTGAATCAATATTATCCCTCCTAGTCTTTCTACGAATTCTATTTCTCTTAAAAATATTTTTTTTACTTGTTTTTTTTAAATGGTATATGTATATTTGTATTCATAATTCCTATATTTTTTTTCTTAATTTTGTATTTTTTTAGTTTCTGTTGTTGTGGTTGGCCCCTAATATAACCATAATATAAGCATAAATTAGATCGATTTTTTTGTCTTAATATAAAATCTAGTATTTAAGATATTACTTATTTTTTTTTATTATTATTTATCAAGGGTTTGGTTTAAAGGACCGTATGGTGAACTTCTCTTTGAGCTTTCTAAGATTGTTAGTAAGACTGAGCATGTTTATTTTTTATACTTTTTAATTGATTTGTATTATTTTTATACATATTTTGTTTATAAATATTATTTTCTATTGTAATCCTTTTCAATCTGTAAATCAATCTTAAAGGCAATTAATATAATATACTATTTTGTGGATCGTGTATATCCTCATAAAGCATGTCTATTTTTCTGATATTTTTTATCACATCGAAATAATAATGAATCGCCGAGGTGTAATTTAAATTATATTTTAATTCTATAAACTGTACTACTTCCTAAAATACATTTAAATTACTTTAAATATGTTCTTGTTTAGAACTGTAGTCTGGATAAAGATAGTATACATGTTTACATTCCTCAAATGTACTTCTTCGCTACTTCTTCATATTTGCTCCCAGAAATAACCTTGTACGGGTTTGCAAGTAAAATTAAAGTATCACAAACTGAGTGGAGTATATTTTTCAGGTAATGTACGTGGTACAAGAATAGATTTGTTAATCTTCATACTGAAAAAAAACTCGAAATAATAATGGATTGAAGAGTAGTGATTTAAATTATACCATAGTTCTATATAATCTTTGCTAGTTCCTAAATTAAATGTAAGTTACTTTTAATATACCAAGTTTAAAGGTGTCCAGTTTTCATATAACGTTAGAAGACATAAATAGATTTTTCGAATGTATTTCTTCATCCACCTCATCACTATTTGTTTCCAGAACTATGCGGATTTGTAACTAAAATTGAGGTAGGTTTCTTAATATACCGTTTTTAATATACCAAATTTAGTGAAGAACACTTTTCAGATAAGATACGTAATTATTTTTTTCAATATGCCTACTGTAAACAAACTCTTACCTCTAGGACTGCTCAACGAGCTGTAATGGTGCTCCCTGTCCCGCTCCCGGTACTCGCGATGGTGGTGCAGGGCCGAACTGGGTCGCTCCACGATCGTGTAGCTGGTTCCGGGCGGCGAGTAGTACAGCCCGGACCTCGGCCGCCTCGGGCTATCTCTGGAGGGCCCCAGCGCATCTTCCGCCTCGGCCGGCGCGCATCGGCCGCCCGCGCGACGGCTGCGCGCCGAGGCTACGCCACTGTTGCCCGCCGCTGCGCCAAAACCGCCTCCCAACTCAGCCAGTTCGGCGTACTCGTCGCCGCCGCCCACTCGCATTCCTCACGAATAAGTGAGCTGAAAAGGAAAAATAGTGTTAGTCCAGTCATATTTTCCAGTTTTGTTATATTGCATGATACTAAAGAGCTTTAAACTTAAAAGAATTGTTTACAGTCAACTGGCGTAAAAATGAGACATTTTCAATAAAACTATTGAGATGAACTGCCTATTTAAAAATAGACATATTGCTTTAAATTCAAAACATTCAGTTTTAAAACACTCTGTATATATAAATAAAATTAATGATTTTTTAGTTATTTTTTATACAAAACGATAAAATGGTATTTTGTCGTCGACCGAAGAGATTAATTCACAAGCGAAGAAATCGTGAGTGAATTAATTTCGGGGGACGATAATGCAATTTTATCGTCGTGTATAAAACAATATTTTTTTTTCCATAGCGAGTTACGTTTTAAAAAATATTCAGAAATTATTATTTCAAGGAATTTATTACGAGTAGAAAAAATATTGTGCTGGATTGGCGTTGGTTTCTATGTAATTTGACAAAGAAATAAAGTTGTCTCTTTAGTTGTCAGTTTTGAGTCGATATTTTTTAATTCTCTTTCGTGTCGATTGCTGATTGAATTGGAGCTAGAAATGGCTAAAAACGAAATAAGTAAATTACCAACAGATATTCAGGCTGGGGCGAAAACGCCATATCCAAACTACTTCCATTTAAATCCCAAATAACTTATGAAAAGGAATACAAAAATGTTCAAAAATGGAAGCAATTAAAAAACGTACGAGAAGAAAAATCAAGTGAAAACATACTTTTAGCATATTTTTCTGAAATATCAAAGAAGATGCAACCGTCCAGTTTATGGTCGTACTATTCAATGCTAAAATGTACAGTACTGGTCAATGAAAACATTGATATTTCAAGGTTAAGGATAAGCTTTAAATTTCCCTAGTAGTATAGTAACATTTAAACTTTGTAGATATAGCAAGCTCATAGCTTTCTTGAAGCAGTCATGTATCGGTTACAAATCGAAAAAGTCAAAAATTTTAAACCCAGAAGATGTCGTGAAATTTCTTTGCACAGATTTTTGTGCATTTAATCTACCCTTGCGGTTAAATTACTATTTCATCTACTATTTTTGGTAGATATAAGGCAATTTTAACAGTTGCTATGGGAAAAAAATATTATTCACAAACTAGGGAGAGGGAATCAGACGACGACCAGAGATAATAGTTGTTAAGGAATAGCTTTTAGACTACCATTTGAAATGCATTGATATGTTATTTTGATTCGTAAGTTTTGTAACAAAGAATGTTATTAAAGGTAAAGTAAATGTTTTCTCATTATTTAACTAGTGTTAACTAAAGCATATAGCTTACTTGACTGTTCTAATATTCTGTGCTATAGATTTTTCTAATTTATTTCATCTGAAAATTATATGATATAACATTTGTATGTATTTAATGGAATCTATTTAGCCTGTATATAATTTCAGTTTAAAAGTTATCTAAATACAATCGTTAATTGTCTATTCGTGCCACTGTTTGTCGTTCAGTGTGAGAATAAGAGCCTTGTTGAGTGTACTAAGAGTTTTTGACCGTCAATGGGCGAATATCTCAGCTCGCAAAAGAGCAACCAGAAACAATAAATAGAATAACTTAAAATCTAAAGATATTTGCACCGAACATTCAACATTAGCTTCGAGCTCCGCAACCAGGGCCTTGGTGGGCTGGGGGTCCGTTAAAACTAACAAAAACTCTTCAGTTTTAAATGATATAAATGTGGCATGTTTTGAATGAATGATACTACAAACCTTGGTATGAGTGCAGTTTACATATTGCTATTTATCTTTTATTAAAGTTCAGGACAGCATAGTTAGATTCTCTGGAATAGTATTTTCTCTGCTGTGGTCTTTTACTTGTGAATTCCAGGCAGAGTACGGCACTACTTTCATTTCATTTAATAAAATAAATAGGGCTATTTACAAATTTAGCGTTTCATTTATATAACCTATTTTCCTCAAATTTACCAAAATATTGCTTCTGTCGGGCGCATCCGAGGTAATCACAATAAAAAATAAATTTAACACAACATTCATTTCATTTAAATTGTTTGTTATACAGTTGGTCACAATAGTATCTCTTCAACTTTGTTGACGACCCTTGGTTGTTATACTACACTATTGAAAACTTATATTCAGTCAGTATCTTGTAAGGAAGATTTAACAATAATTGTTAAGGTATCACCGTAATTTGTTTAATCTTTGGGTTCTAAATCATGAAAAAAGTTTTCAAAAAAATACCAAAGTTTTATTTTTTCTTATGGAACACCCAGTATTTTATTTCATTTTTGAATTCTAGGATATAAAATAAGGCATTTATTATAAGTGTTTAATATGTCTAAAAGCTTTAGTTTTTGAGATATTTAAATATGCATGCTATAATAAAAAAGGTTTTTAACACCCTGTACAGACTGTTTTAGAATTAATTCTTGTGCTGAATCGGAAGCCAGAGAAATAAACTTTACTAAAAAAATTATTGATTCCTAAAATGTATCCAGGGGTACCAAAAACTGCTGGTCTATTTTAAATATTTATTTTACATAAAAACTTCGTTATTTCAAATGCAACACTGTATTTTTTAAATAATTCGAAGCAGATTTAAATGCTCTTTCAAACTGTATTAGGGTTTCCTATACCTATCTGGTTTAGATTTTGATGTTAACATTTGCTAGCAAAGTTTGTTTAAAAATTAGTTATTGAACTTTTACTGGTCAGACGTAGTGTTTTCAAATCAATGATGGAAGTTGATTTCCAAGTTTTACTTTAACAGATACAGGATCTGAATGGCTGTTCGCAACAACTCTCATGATTCAGCGCTCATGTCAGCACGTAGAAACATAAGAAAACAGCTACAATGAATAAAAGACCTAACAATTTAGAATACCTCCATTAAAATAAGCATGGAATGAAGCAGAAATCAATGTATTACTGGATATTGACTACAAGATAAGAATAAAACTTAATAATAAAAAGGTATTTATTATTGCCTCCGAATATTGAAGTAATATTTTATAAATAAAATTGTATTTTTTGCTAATCAAATTACCTACAGTATCTTATATTCTACTCTTCGTTCTGTTAAATTTTGTATCTCTGACCAGCGTATTTCGACTCTCGATGGCAAATGCCGATAGACAATGGTGCAATTGAAAACGTCAAAATATGATTTACGCACGGCTTTTCAGCAAGTTTAAACAGTGTTTGCGACCAGGATGACGTATTTGCGTTTCAGAATAGTAAATTGACGGTAATTTTCGAAATTGTTGAATATTAGGATCTGGGATCAATATTATCATACGATATATTATTCAAGTAAATGCTGCACTACCCGAATCGTAGTTCATGGTTTTAACTAAATCTAAATAATGCAATATCGATTCTGAACAAATTAGCAACAAATATTGTATACTGAAAATGATATCACCGATACAGAACCGATTTTTAGAAACACCGATACATCTTTGATGCTTCTAAAATTAGTACGTAGTAAAAAATTCTACATTCAGGGTCCGGTAACAGTGCGTCGAGTCTCTGTAGCCCCTAGAATAAAAAACTTGGGAATCTTGTTTAAGTGCAAACTCAAAGTATGTATTAGGATCTAATACAGGAAAATATAACTTTTGTAGGATGACGCAAAAAAGTGTGAGTGGATCGGGATGATTTTTTTTTAAAAGACACACCTATATATTATTGCATTTTTGGCTTCCTTTCAGATTACTTTACATAATCCTCAGATTTGACTAAATATATTTCGAGAGTTTTACTAAATTAGTTAAACTTATAACTTCATCATTACTTTTTTAGGTCACCTTGGTATACAGCAAGATATTTTTAGGAGATGTACCTTTGTAAACCATGCAACATTTGTATAAAACTTTATTTCATATCTTTGTTAACAACGATAATATTGGACTTGCTCTCTCTAATGGGCCACCTTAATTTATTTTATAATTAGTTAAGTCATCTCACAATTTACATAAAATTGATTTTATTTTTGTCAGAAATACCACTCCTGCGGAATAATAATATTAATTATTTCCTAACTTTAGTATTAAAAATAATACACAGAGTGTTTTAAAAAACATTTGCCTCTCATGGGGAGATTCCTCACGTAAAAATAAGATTTATTGTTCATATCAACCTAGGTCCGATTCTGCTTTGTTTTGTAGCTACAGGGTATTAAAGTCTTAATAATCTTTCTGCGATAAAGTTTCATTTTTATTTTTTCTAAGTAATTTCTAAAGTAACGTCAATATTTGGATGAAAATTGGTATCTGGGAGTTTTTTGACATGAGAAATTTGATTTTGATTTCAATATGACTCCTATTTGTAGGGGGCTATTTTAACTTTTTTGAAGAATAATAACTTTTTGTCCGTACCTGTATAAAAATACTGAGTGAAAAAATATACATTTCCGTGATTTTTTACGTAAAAATGTCTCTTGGTAAAAATCGCTACGAGCAACCGTTTCTCAAGATATTTAGAATGGAAGTAGTCAATACATATCGTTATTGACAAAAAAATAAACGTATAGTTGCGGACCTGTGTGGACTCAGCCGTAGTGACACATCGAACATTCGAGAACAATTGAGTTCCACTGGAATGGCGGCGTACATATATGAGAACATTCCAAATCTTCTCTATGTACCTAATGATCTAATGGACTATTCGAGAACTGTTTAGCTGTGGATATATAACCCGAAACCTGTGCAAAGGAGGGACAGAAACAAACAAATCGGTCGACCGTACAGTTGCCGGGGTAAATTCAAAATAAATTCCTTTTCGATAAATAGTAAATAAGTTGTAAATAGTTATTTAAGTAGTTTTATCGTTATTGTTTTGTTACTTAGTGTAAAATAAATTGTGTTTAAATAAATTAGACTTTCTATCCATACGGAACCAGCGAAAAACGTAACAATATATTGAGTAGTATTTTTTTTAAATTAACCATAAATTTTTCTTCCAAAAAAATGATGGTAA